TAAATGCACAAATCCCATTTAATGCATCTGAAAAGGGGTATGAATAAGTAAAACTTATTTAATCCTACCCCTTCTCCAATACTCTATAGTTACACTTTACATTCATTCAGTTTTCCGAGTCTTATGAGTTTATGATAGGAAGGAAAAAACAAAAACATATATAAGCATATAAAATAATGCAGAAAGTAATCTAATATTATTCTAATGGTAAATTTTAGAGTTGTAAATTCACTTCCAGAGACATTCACCTCCAACTACACATTAATCAGTACCTATGCTAAAGGCAAAGGTTGAGCCATAATGTCTGTGTGTATTTCTGTTTAAACAGTTGGCAACAAAATAATCTCCGAAATTATTTAACAGATTTTAATAAAACTTTCAAAAAGTAATCACTGGGTTGACATTTACTGATGATGAACCTTTGGAGTCAGCTGGATTCCAGATGCAGCCACAGTACAACAATCTCACCAAAGTCAGGGATATCTCTTATTTAGTGTGCAAATATAAATGCAGCATTTTAAGTACAAAAAAGACCCACCACATTTACAGTGTGTGTGTGTGTGTGTGTCTGTGTTGTAGTCAATAGAGCCAATAGTCTTCATAGCAGATTTTTTTTACTGCTGTTTCTGACTAGAAAAAGACATTTGCAATTACTGATGGCCACTAAAACAGTTGGGTTGCGTCTCATGCAGCATTGTTGTTTGTATTCTTCTTATTGTTTCACAATGAGGTGGTTACCGTAAAGTGCATGGCATGGCTCAGCCTGGGCCACTCACACAATGCTGTATTAATCACCAACCAAGAGAAATAAGGACATTTTACAGCTCAGTGGAGAGAAAGCTTTGTTTGAGCAAGTATTGATGCACACAAACAAAACAGTGGATACACGACACATCGGCACAGGAGTCCCATTTTAATGCAGGTTTTTTGTTATCATAGAAATGTAGTCGATATTTGAAATGATTTCATCATCTTTAGGCTTGTAAAGCTATGCTGATGCAAGCTAAGCATGCAGTGCATGCTGTAGGCTCGTGTGTAAGGTGTTCCAGCAAGCTTCAACCATTAATTCATAATATAATCATCTGTAATTAACAATGTCCTACTTTACTGTTGTGATCGCTCACTGATTGAAATATTGAACATATTAATATTAATAGCATGGTCTCCCTGAGATTCATACATGCAGATGTCAGTTTGACTGAATATTTTAGCCCTCCTGTGGTGTCTGTGAAATTTAAAACACCGAATGCGTTTTCTCTACTAAAGGCCCACAGGAGCCATTAATGAATTAAACAATCCATGTTGAAAACGTTGTTTCTTCTGACCTGAACCTTGGGGCAAGGTTTATTCATGTTGTTTCAGTAGTTGCCATGGTAATAAAGGTCCCACTTTGTTTAGGATGATTTTGACGTTAATGCATTTAGAAGGCTGCAGGCTTTGTTGTCCATCAGCTAATTAAGGAATCATGACTCAGAAAAGTCGCCAGTGTGCTCAGAACAAGATGACTCCAGCATATTTCGAGCTCAGACAGAGCTCACTTTCTGCACATCTCCGATCCCTTCATCATCATTTAAAATCGGCGTCCTGTCTGTGACATTAGCTGAGGTGTGGTTGGCTCCGGTGTTTTAGCTTCAGACTTGCAGCTGGCTGTGTGTTTGTGCTCTGTGACAGTGCAGCAACTGCTTGGTATTTTCTGCTCCCAAGTATTGTTACCTCACCCTGAGCCTGTGTCTGCGGCCTCGGGGCTATGTAGTGCTCTACTGCCATCCATGGGTTTGCAGAAATTCTGCTGAATCCATGTGGTTGGTGGGCATTTTCACCATTTGAACTGATTAAAAATGTCCTCTATACAGCATGCCCTAGGCAAGGAGATAAGTAGGTTTTTTTTAGACGTTTATAATGAAGCACACAATTGTGTTGGTAAGTTGCTGAAGCACAAAATGCTTCTCAAATTAAAATTATATTGATGTTGCAATATATTTATGTTTGGCAAATCTATTCATAAGCATACAACGATACACATAAATAAAAAAAATGCATTAACTTAAGCTAGAAACAATAAAGGAAAGGACACAAGAATGATAAATTACTAGTTTTTCTCCTCGTTGTTAGAGGCCAAGAAAAGCAACAAACACAGGATGAGAGTGAGAGAAGGAGGAACGAGAGCAATAGAAAACTTGCATGTAATGACTCTGCAGAGCTACAGTACAGAGGAAATTAAGCTAGCCAATTATCAGAGTGGAAATTATGAAGAATGAGATAGCTGTAAAAATTAATCAAAAGGGATTAAATTAATACAGGTTAAATGGCTAGCTGCCTTCCTTAATGAAAGCTTGATCCGCCAACAGACTGTGATTAGTCAGTGGATTGTTGGAGCCTTAAAGCCTCTGAAGTGTGACACATCATCTGCATTTCTCTCCTTATTTTCATCCTCCATCACTTTAGAAAAATGGCCTGCGATCTCCACTTTGTAAATAAAAATGTGACATCAAAGTTGGGTCACAGGAATCATTAAAATCTAATTGGATTTAAAATTGAGCACCGTAAGATTGTAATGTGAACTCTTTAGAGACTTTGTTTGGTTACTGATTTAACTGTGAAGGTCGTGGTTTTTAAAACGAGCTGATGAATTATTGTATCAGACTCCTTTGTGCTTTTATTTGATGATCGCAATAAAACAAAGATGGCAATTTTTCAGCCACTGAAGGACTAAACAATCACGTCTTCTCTTAAATCCCAGAAATTTCATTATGCTTTACCGTCACCCTTTATAACTTTTCAGAGGCTGCGTTGTCTTACTTTATGAAATAGACAGATACTTTGAATTGCATTCATCTTTTTCTGCAGATATGCAGCAATCAAACTAACTGCAGGACATTTTTAAAAATAAAACATATCTTAAACTTGAATTTCTTCTTATATTCTTGCCAAACTCATGCCATTATTTATATACAGTAACTGCAGTTGTGCACTGATGACAGCCCCTTTAATTATCCACAATAGTGTATTAGTTAACACCAACCTGGTTCTTTGTTTAAAGTTTATTTAATACAACACAGACAAGAGAAGCTCAAGGATTCAAGGTCAAGGAAAGTCTGCATCATGTTTTAGTCTTTGCTGCCATCTAGTGGAAATGACCATTACTACACCTTTAATGCTGCAGTGAAAGAAAAAGACAGCAAATGTCTTTTCACAAGATCATTATCAAAATGGCATTGATAATATTTATTTACATGACATAAATATATTTAATCTAAAGAAACATGTATTTGTGTTTGATGCGAATGCAAATGTGTTCCTTGCTTCATTAAAACGTCTGTAGACACAAAATATAGTAATAATAAACATTTGACCCTAATGGATGGATATGAAACTGAAACATCCCCATGAGATGAAGGTTATCCATCACCTGATTCACTGCAGCTCAACAAAAGGCTGCTTTTGGTTGCAGTTTTATTCAGAACCACGTGGGGGCAATGTTGATGCAAAAATAGCTAAATAGCTGAAGCTAGCAGTGAGCAGTGTGCTGACACTGTTTGGATGGAGAACAGAAAGCTGTCTCTTCTCATATTGCTTCATCCCCACAGAGGAGTCTGTATCAGTCACCCATCAGGACAGGCAGGGGAGCAGAGCCCCACATGGCTGACAAAATTAATAAGTCATCAGACCAGGAAGAGAACGAGATGACTTGGCCTTTTTGTCAGAGTAGGCCATTCTATCCTCGTGTGTGCGGCAGTTTAGTGAATAAAATTGTGCTGCCAACGACCAATTTCTTTATAAGGAGAGGAAAACTTCATGCACCTTTTTGATTTGAAAATATTTCCCCTCATTTACAGACTCAGTGTGTCCTTCAAAAGGCTGGAATCAGGTTTACCAATCTCGGAGTTGGAAAAAAAAAATTCACAAACAGCTGGTATGTCTGATTGCATCATTACCTGCTTGGATTGTGCTTACAGATGCACTGGTTGAAACATAGTTCTTAAAACACTGCAAATATTCATGTTTAAAGAAGCACTCTGGCTTCCGTTTATCATATTTAACTAAACTGACTGCTGAGGTGAGTTGAACACAACATTTAGAGAAGTGTACGGGACTCAGTGGTATGTTGTTCGGTGAAAGTGATGATGTAATATGGGTTTGGCAAAGTGCAATGCTTGTAGAAAATGATTGGCTAGAATATGGATGTGGTCCAGGAAGTAACAGTGCGAGCTACAAAATGTCTAGACTGTCATGAAGCAAAAGTGATAGATGAGCTGTCGGGAGCAGCAGTAGGCAGAAGCACCTGGATCTCTCCCATTTTAATACCTTTGCAGAACCAGCTGTCCATGTGGCCAGCCTTCACATCCATCATGTCACATTCTCAGTCATCTATTCCAGACCATGAGATTAAACAGCGGGACAGTCGACTGTGCAAAGGAAGGTAGTCAGATGCCCCGGGCACTCACAAGCCCCATATACATCAGAGCTTTGAAATCAGCCGGTCTTACATCTACACACAAACACGCACAAACACACCAAGATGTGAGTCATAAAAAAACACCAAATGTCAGAGAATACAAGAGGGAAGGGGAAGACTGGATAGAAAACTGCATGCAAAACAGGGCTGGCAAAAAAAAAAAAGAAGAAAAAACATGAAACAGGAGAGGCTGAATGGGAGGGGATGAGACAAAGAAACAGCCATGCGCAGCTCTGCATCTTGAGGAAGAGAGACAGGGGAGAGGGAGGGAGAGAGGGAACCAGGGCTGAAGCTGAGACAGCCACTCTGAGGGGAAAGGCTCTCAGTGTGATGCTATTGGATGTGAACTGCTCTCCTTTAATCGGTCTCTGTCCATTTGTTTGACTGAGCCAGGAGTGTGTGGACGTATTACAGCTTGGCTTTATCCATCCTGAGAGATCTGCTGCTGTTCAGACCTGAAGCAGAAGCTGACTGACTTGTTACTCTGCCCAGGCTGTCTGAGGAAGAAGGGGGCTGACTGGAGCGAAGGTCTAGGCTAGGGCAGGGCAGAGCTGGCTGTCAGGCCATTTGTGCCGGGCCACACAGGAAGCAAACATGAGTGTTCCCATGCTCAAGATCGGGGCAGTGCTCAGCACTATGGCCATGGTGACCAACTGGATGTCTCAGACTCTGCCCTCACTTGTGGGACTCAATGGGACCACCGTCTCCAGAGGGGGCACCTCAGAAAGGATTATAAGTGTGAGTATGAATTAATTTGCCTTAAATGCTTGAGCAAGATCTGGTAAATGTAAAAAAAGACAACATGAGGAACGGAAGAGAATGGCACAGATTTAGGCACGAAAAGAGAGGATTTAAAATGAATGAGTTGAAGCGTGTGTGATAAGAGTTGAATAGAACTGTGGGAGAAAATGTTTCAGCCAGCTGTGAATGTTGCACAAAAAATAAAGCTACAGTTGAGTGGTTGAGCATTTGTGAATGCCTCTGTGGTAAGTCATATGTTTTTTGGCAGGGTGATGGGAGGTGGAGAGCTGTCCTGAGTGATGCTCAGGCTGATCTTATCTGTCAGTGAGCTCCAGGGTGGGAAAGACGGTGTTCATATTTAAGAGTGATGGCAAAGACTCCAGACAGTCCCACAGTTTGGTGTGTGCCGTAATCCCTTACTTTGTCTTAAAATCATCTCAGCTCTCTATTATTTAATAACAGTGACCTCATACTGGCAGACACTGAGGGCGATTTTAAAAATAAATGTAGTTCAAATGAGGTTTTAGAACTTTATATTGCATTTGTATATATATATATATATATATATATAAAAAAGTTTGTTCCATTCTAATTTTGCTAAAACAAGATGAAAAATGAGAACTGTCAAGACAAGGAATGAATATGACATTTTCTGTCTCATCTGCTGTTAGTGGATGTTTTTTTATATCCTGAGTGAGTTTTATGGCATCTTACCCATTAGGCAAATACCCGGATCTGTTGAAATGACAGAAATTGAACATCCCAAGAGGTGTATGACCATCTGGACATGTTTCTGTGCACATGTTTGTGCAAGAGTATGTATGTGTGCTGTCTTTGTGTGTTGAGTCATTCCTGTCCCAGGGGTGAAGTCCGTCTGTTTGATGGGACTTCTTGTAATTCATAACACCCAGCTGACATTTTATCTCTCTTAATTCTGCCATGAAGCATCAGGCGGAAATGTTTTATTACCCCCACTAAAACAGGAAAGTAGGACATCCTGCTGATCTCTTTGTTAAAAAGTCAAGCTCAGAAATATTTAATTGTAAGCAGTGGAGTTATCTCAGCAGGAAATGTTTGAAAGAAACAATCGTTTGCAACACAGAATTTTTTAATCGCATTAAACACGTCTCCTGCAAAGTCTTGTCAAAATATTCACCAGTGTAAAGATTTTCTATGCCTGATGTTGCACGTGAAAAAGGAAAAAAAAAAGATTTTAAAGTTTCTTGCTTTTGAACTCATTCAAATCAAGGCTCGTGACTTGTATTTTTACCATTTGCATTTCAAAAGACTAATTAGAATAAATTATCACACATTGTTTTACAGTACTGCCTGATTTATTTAAAAGGAATTATCAAGCAGAACTAGTGGAGTCAAATGATGTTATTAAAGTTCATTTCATCAATTATCAATCAGTTTGATGCAGTTACATTTTACTGGATTAGAACAGACTGCTGTGATGGAAAACACCTTCAGTTTGAGACGAGAGCATTCTCCACAACGACAGCAGATAAAACTTTCATGGGAAACTTGCCTCAACGTCGCATCACTATTAATGAGAGATTTGCCTCCTGAGATCATCTAAGAAGCAGGCATGACTCACAAAGGGTTTCGAGCTTCAATCAAAGACAATCTAGCTGTGCACTTGTGACACTCCAGTGCTGGCGTGCCAGGGGCTGTAGCATGGCTGCTCCTCACCATGGCACCCATGCATGTGGCTTTCTTCTCCCAGCAAAGAGTTAAAGTCTGCTACTTTCTAAATGTGCCTGTTTTCTAACCAGATGATCCAAGCACACAGCTGACTGGGTTTATATATGCTTTCTGTAATGTACTGCCTGGGTGCTTGTGCACATTTGGATAGTGCGAAACCATGTTCCATAATGAGTGGGAAACCCTTTGAGTTCAATGCATAGGACTATAGTGACTAGAAGGTATCAAGCAAAAACAAGGCATAAAGATCAACTAGGTTGTTGGAGTGGGACTTTTTAGAGATGCACGATGTGAAATTTTGAGCAGATATCCGATATGCCGATATGTTAAAACTTATTTGGCCGTGTTAAAGATGGGAGCTGGCTGGTCACCGGATCCGGAAACCACCTCCAGCCCACGTCTTTTCCCCCGGCTCGAATCTCCCTCAGAAGTGGCAACTCTCATTATCAATAAATCAAGGAAACGTCAATTAAGTTTTATCAGTTATATTAAATTCAAGGCAGGAAAAGGTAACAGTTACAGCGCTGGCCTCTCCGGTCTGTGACGCGTTCACAGACCCGGAAGAGCCCCGATGTCCCGTGTCATTACTCATTTATAGGGTCCTAGACTCCTCCTTCACAGAAGGGGAGCTCAACCTGTCAGTGTATGAAGGGGCGTGACTAAGTGTGATCTCTGTGGATCTTATGTGGTTCTGATGTGTTAGGAAATATGAGACGGTGCTTCAAAAGCCTTTCTACGTGATGTGGCAAGCAGATTAATCTCTGTTCTTTGATTGATATTGAAATCCCAGGGAGACTCTCAAAGCTGCTGGCCCAGTTTAACCCAGTCAGAACCGGGTCATAATTTCATTATAATCCCGTCTCTGAGCAGATCAAAACCATAGGACCTGTCTAGATAAAAATAATATCCAACAGCCGATAACCATTTTTTTTCCCCCCAAGGCCTACTTACAGAGACTACATAGCTTTCTCTGCTGTGGAATTAAAATACTACATTATTCTGCATGGTATTTGTCAATGTTGCCTGTTATCAAATGCAGATGCCAAAAAGGGGGCTGAAAATTATGTAACACTATGTAATTATATAAAATATAAAAAATAAAAAAAAGTGTCTTATATCAGTGAGTTATTTTTGATGGACTGGCCGATGTCCGATATTTCACTTTATCGCTAATATCGGACGATATCGATACCATGCCGATAATATCGTGCATGCCTAGAATTTTTATTTTTTATGCTGCATCATAAAAAATAATTTGTCATGGTCTTAGGAAAGTGTTTAACTAGCACTAAGAACCAACACTGCTATAGAAAAGTAAATCAGGCATTAACTCAGCTATCATATTTTGAGTTTCAATGAGTGGGTTTTACATGTTCCATTTAGAAGTGAAGGCAGAAAGCCTTTGTGTGACTTACTGAAGCTGTAAGGCTGTGAAGGTTCAGAAACATCAGTGAAATAAACGCTCTGGTTAGGAGAAGTTCTCACTGTATGAAATTCAGCCCATTTTCAGAACAGTTTGTAAGACTTGTCAAATGTCTCACATCTGGTTAATGAAAAGCGTCGACAGTCTCGCATAAGCACATTTGATACATTTTTACGTTAATTAGTGTTCTGAGCAGAAAAAGAGTGAAGGATTATTTATGTTCAAAAATGAAAGTCAGAGTGACTGATGTACTTGACGAACCAGTCATGTTCAGGTTTTGGTTGTCAGAAACATAATTTCAATACTAAACAATTTTAAGCATGATGGAAGTGCTGCATTGAACAAACTGAAAACATCAAAGCTAGTGGTGATGGAAATAGTTTGATTACAAGGCTCATGAAAGTGCTGCAAGTGGAGAAACAAAACATTCGAGCTTCCAGTCTGAAGTGGCAAAATGTGAAGTGGAAATTTCACATCATGTCATACACTGCCTAACTAAATACAAATTATGGGCCGATGGCCATTGAGTGTTCTTAAAGAAAGATAAAGGTGAAAAACAACATACATCATGGTTACAAAATGATTAACTGATAAGCTTCAGTCACAAGATAATCATTTTCTGGAGACAGACAGAAGTTTTTAATGCAATGGATCTGTATGAAAAGCATCCTAGAGGGCCTCTCATACATCAGTGTGTTTATAATTCCTCAAACATTTATAGCAAAATACATCATGCCCACAGAAAAACATGGTGAATGTTCTGGTAAGCTGTGACCCAGCTTCCCTGTCAGTCTGTGTCTGTAAGTTGCAGCTTTATTCCTGCTTGGGCTGCACAGTTGGAACACCATTGCCTCTAAGCAAGAAGGTTGCAGGTTCCACTCCAGGCTGGAGCGTTTTTCTGTGAAGTTTGCGTGTTCTCCTTCTTCATGGGGTTATAGGTACTCGCAGTTTTATTCAATAGTACAAAAACAAGCATTAAAAAGCTATTCTAAATAGGTGTGAATGTGTGCAGATGATTGACTTGCTTGTTCTTTGTGTCTTTATGAGGGACTGATGAAATATTCAGGGTGTACCCCACCTTTTGCACAATAACCTCTGGAAACAAACATCAAACCCCTGCAACACTGATGTAAAGAAATAGTTTGGCGTTACTGTACAATCCAAAAATATATACAGTAGTCCCTCGTTTATTGCAAGGAATCCGTACCCTGAAGCCCGGCAATAAGTAAAAAAACGCAAAATAAGAATAGTAGTACAAGCAGTAAGTAGTAGTTATATACAGTATATATATATATATATATATATATATACATAAATA